GTGACCATTAGATAACAGAAAATGGTTTATTCATAGTGGGAATGCATCCTCTTAAACTAGCATTTGATATTGGGAAATCTTATATAAAGCTTCATTTATTTATAGGAGAATTTCTATTAACAAACAACTTTAACCACTTGTAAATTCAATTTTCTAAAAAGTGTAATGTAGCAGCAACAGAAAGCTGCTTAAAGTTGTCAATCGAATACATCTTGTCTTGCTCTGGTGCTTACAGAGTCTCTCTTCCCTTCTTGCCTCATAACACTTTACTGTTATTTTTGCAAAAATAAATATATCGGTATTGAGATAGAATACTTGAATAAATACTGCTTGGCTTGCTTTGGTGTCTTTTCTGGACTTCTATATCTGTGTATTTATTTCTTACAGTGCTCACAATCCCACATGACTAACTAGCCTAGGCAGGGCTGATTGGTGTCACAGACCCCAAATATTTGAATGCTTCCAGCTATCCATCCATTTTTTTAAAAAAAAAATTAAAATAAGATATTCCTCTAATTGATTGCTTACAATAGGGCTTATATTTGCTTTTAATGTCCACATTTTTGTAGATTATAATAACTACAGGCTATAATAGCAGTAAAGAAAGGTCTGCTATTACATTGGCTACATAAAATATGAATTTGCTGTTCACTTTGTATTAACTATTTTAAAAAACAACAACCTGAAGTGAATAATCACAGCATTACAGTAAAAGTAATTTGTTTCAGCTCTTAAACATGCTTCCAGCTCTCCACAAAATAGACATAGTCAGAATAAATATCTCAACTAACACTTAAGCAGGTTTGTTAGTATTGTGTAGCTAGTTTATTTTGAGCTTGTGCTCCAGTCTGGGTGTTGAAATCTTTTTTGCATGCCAAGGTCACAGCCACAGCAAGGCTGTTTAATCCAGGGCAATTCTAGAAAGGGGGCTGTCCATCTCATCCCTGTCAAAAACAAGGTCATTGTGCCCCAACTGCACTTATGCAATCTTTTTGCAAGTCTTCCTGAGTCCATTCATGATCAATATCCATAGAAGTACATAACACTTCAGCTGGCATTTCAAGGCACAGATATCCAAAAGCATAGAAGTATTCCTTTACTAGTGCTAGAAATATAACATAATATGTTTCTCCCTGTTATTCCAGTTACATCTTTTCTCCTACCATAGACAATGATTGTTTTTAATGCCTTAGTTAAATATTCTGTATACTGATTTTTCAACTGCTTGTTGTTCATTCGTTCAGTCGTCTCCGACTCTTCGTGACCTCATGGACCAGCCCACGCCAGAGCTCCCTGTCGGCCGTCACCACCCCCAGCTCTTTCAAGGCCAGTCTAGTCGCTTCAAGGATGCCATCCATCCATCTTGCCCTTGGTCGGCCCCTCTTCCTTTTGCCTTCCACTTTCCCCAGCATAATTGTCTTCTCTAGGCTTTCCTGTCTCCTCATGATGTGGCCAAAGTACTTCAACTTTGTCTCTAGTATCCTTCCCTCCAGTGAGCAGTTGGGCTTTATTTCCTGGAGGATGGACTGGTTGGATCTTCTCACAGTCCAAGGCACTCTCAGAACCTTCCTCCAACACCACAGTTCAAAAGCATCTATCTTCCTTCGCTCAGCCTTCCCTAAGGTCCAGCTCTCACATCCGTAGGTTACTACAGGGAATACCATGGCTTTGACTATGCGGATCTTTGTTGCCAGTGTTATATCTCTACTCTTGACTATTTTATCGAGACTGGACATTGCTCTCCTTCCAAGAAGTAAGCGTCTTCTGATTTCCTGGCCACAGTCTGCCTCTGCAGTAATCTTTGCACCTAGAAATACAAAGTCTGTCACGGCCTCCAAGTTTTCTCCCTCTATTTCCCAGTTGTCAATCATTCTTGTTGCCATAATCTTGGTTTTTTTGATGTTTAGCTGCAACCCGGCTTTTGCGCTTTCTTCTTTCACCTTGATTAGAAGGCTCCTCAGCTCCTCCTCGCTTTCGGCCATCAGAGTGGTGTCATCTGCATATCTGAGGTTGTTAATGTTTATTCCAGCAATTTTCACCCCAGCTTTGCATTCATCAAGCCCTGCACATCGCATGATGTGTTCTGCATACAAGTTAAAAAGGTTGGGTGAGGGGATGCAGCCTTGCCGTATACCTTTCCCAATCTTGAACCACTCTGTTGTTCCATGGTCGGTTCTTACTGTTGCTACTTGGTCCTTGTACAGATTCCTCAGGAGAGAGACAAGGTGGCTTGGTATGCCCATCCCGCCAAGAACTTGCCACAATTTATTATGATCCACACAGTCAAAGGCTTTAGAATAGTCAATGAAGCAGAAATAGATGTTTTTCTGAAATAGATGTAGTTATGAAAGTGTAACTTTCTCCATTATCCAGCGGATATTGGCAATCTGGTCTCTCGTTCCTCTGCCTTTTCTAAACCCAGCTTGAACATCTGGCAACTCTCGCTCCATGTATTGCTGGAGTCTTCCTTGCAGGATCTTGAGCATTACCTTGCTGGCATGAGAAATAAGGGCCACTGTACGGAAGTTTGAGCAGTCTTTCGCATTTCCCTTTTTTGGTATGGGGATATAAGTTGATTTTTTTCTAACCTGATGGCCAGTCTTGTGTTTTCCATATTTACTGTCATATGATATGCATCACCTTGACAGCATAATCTTTCAAGATTTTAAACATTTCAGCTGGAGTCCCGTCATCTTCTGCCACCTTGTTATTAGCAGTGCTTCTTAAGGCCCATTCAACCTCACTCCTCAGGATGTCTGGTTCTAACTCACTCACCACACCATCAAAACTATCCTCGATATTATTACTCTTCCTACACAGATCCTCTGTATAGTTTCGCCACCTGTTGAACTGCAACCCAGCTTCTGTTGGGTCCCTGCCATCTTTGTTTCTTATCATACCAATTTTTGCCTGAAATTTACCTCCAATGTTTCTAATTTTCTGGAAGAGGTCTCTTGTCCTTCCTATTCTGTTGTCTTCTTCCACTTCCATGCATTGCTTATTTAAAAATAGTTCCTTATCTCTTCTGGCTAACCTCTGGAATTGCGCATTTAACTGGGCATCTCTCCCCTTATCACTGTTTCCTTTTGTTTTCCTCCTTTCTTGGGCTACATCCAGTGTCTCAGCAGACAACCATTTTGCCTTCTTGGTTTTCTTTTTCTTTGGGATGTACTGCTTAGCCATTTTCAATTCAGTTTTAAGAAGGGTCTGTATCTTTTTCTATACTCTACAAAGCTAGTTCATATCTAGTTCTAAATTTATCATACAAAAAACTAATAACTATGATCCAAATACCAATGGATGGGATTTATAAGATGAACACAGCTAATAACTGTAATTGTGCAAAATGTCCCCAGACAACACTAATAATTGTCCTAGTTTTAAAGGACATTCTGTGCTACGAGATAATCATCATGAGAAAATATAAAGAATGAACCAATAGTTATGATCCAACAAGCCATTAGTTTTTTGCATGCTCAAAGTTACACACACACACACATACACACACTGCCATGTTTGAGTCCCCCTAGGGGTGAGAAAAGCGGTATATAAATACTGTAAATAATAAATAAATAAATAAATACCATTACTCAATAAGAGAAAAAGAGAAACACTTAGTTTCTGCTCAGCACATTATAGGCATATCACAGTTAGTCTAGCCTCTGACAAATATGCTGTTTTTTTACAAAGACTTATTCCACTTGCCCAGACTTCTTTTCTTCCCAATCTTGTGTATAGCTATGAATTTTTAGCAGCTTTGACATTTAGACAATGGTGAAGAAAGGCTAGAGAAAAACAGACTTTCAGTGTTGGGTTGCAGCAGTATGTCTAGAAAAGACAATGGAATAAAATTTGAACTGGGAAAGAGCAGTCCTACTATAGTCCTACTATAGTGTTGTATACTATACTATACTACTATACTATACTATAGTCCTACTATAGTCCTACTATAGCCATTCCTCCTATATTCCCCGTGTGCCTGCTTACAACAGGCAAGGTAAACAACAGCTGCTTCCAAAATCCTTTACTGAGTATACATGCACAGCAAAAACATTTTTCTTTTGTCCTATTTAGTTTTTAAGCATAAATCTATATGTCTGGCCACCAAAATGGAAATCATATGAAAAGTGAAATAAAAGGCCATCCCTAGAAATATTTCAGAAGAAACTCTAGAAGATTCAAAATATTTCTGTTTACTTATATAATGCTTACTTGACTTAATTAATTAATTTCATATGTGTATATTGCTCAGTTTTGAAGAAAACATTTGCTGCAACATATTGAACAGGTTTTTTTTGGGGGGGCGGCATAGGAACCTATCACTGGTCTATCCTTGTTATTCTTATCTCTGGACCAAAGTTTCTATTAAAGAAGTCAAGTTCATATCTAATTTGTTAACTGAGATGTATCTGCATTTCCACATGAAAATCTCTGAAGTATATTATATGTATCTATAACTGTGTTCGTAACATCATTAGTCAACAGTGTGATGAAGCAAAAAAAGAAAGCCACTGCAATTTTAGGCTTCCTCAACAAGAACATAATGACTAGGACAAATAAGTCAGACCACACAGTAAATCCTCACTTAGAATATTGTGTCCGGTTTTGGGCACCAGAATTCAACAAGGATGTTTACAAGCTGAAGTATCTCAAAAGGATGAAAGGATGAAAGACCAGGATGGGAAAAAAAAAATCTAAAATGCAAGTCCTGTGAGGAACAGCTTAAGGATCTGGGTGTGCTTAGCTTGAAAAATATTGGGACATGATATGACAGCATATCTAAATATCTAAACAGATGTTGGGTAGAATATGGCACAAACTTGATTTTTGCGACTAAGTGGCCACTGAGAGATTTTCATGCTCCTACATGTTCCCTAAATTGGGGGCTCCATAGAAAATAATAAAGAACATGTAGTTATGGAAGTGTAACTCTAAGTTAGAAAAATGTAATTTCCTATAAGGATTTTAGCCAATTCCGTCTTTAACTATTTCACACTTACCTTTCTCACATTGTAAAAATCCCGATGGGGATTAGTCTTCAGTTCTTTAAGTTCAGACATTTCATTTAACATTTCATGTAAACCAAATTTAGATTCTAGAAAATTAAGTCGCTTGTGGCAGTATGTTTTCCTGTGGAAAGAGAAACATTATATTGTAATTGTAGTCATAAACTGCTAGAGATTATATCTAGTGACTGTGGGGCCTTCTCCTAAGCTAGGGGCAAGGTGCAGTAATTGGAGTGTTGGTCTTTGACTCTGGAAACTAGGGTTTGGATCCCTGCTCGGCCATTAAAACCTTCTGGATGATCAAGTCATACTCCCTGGGCTCCAGAAAACCCTGAGATAAATTCACCTTATGGTTGCCATAAGTCAGAAATTACTTTAAGGCACACAACAACAATGCATGCCAGAACTAAAAAGAATAGATACAGCATTTGTTTTAGCAATGCTGCAGATTGTATACAACACCTTATGCCATAAAAATTTTAAAGGTAAAACAAAGCCATACGTTGGGCCGTCAGCAATGAGAGCCAGCACATGACTTAGGTTGAGAGTATATGTCTGAAGATCAGGATAAGGCAAACTCCATGGCTTATCGAGTTCCATCATTTCTTTGTTTTCATAAACGAAGACAACACCCTCCTTCATTTTTAAAACATAATCCAAGTTCCCAGGAGAATCATCAAGATTATAAGGATCCTGAAGTTCTTTTGGTGGTGGATGGAAATCTGTAAAACAAATATAATCCATTTGTTTGAGCAATATTCTTCTTACACACAAGATTCGAAAGAAAAATTAAATCTACCATATAGCAACCTTATGAAAATTACGAAAAACTATATTATTGCATTATGAGGATTATTCTGATCACTTCAATGTTATTTAGCTTTGAAATTCAATATCCTATACTGGCTTTCACTAGCGCCAAACCTTATGTCCATAAGACAGACAATACTCTGAATTTAACTCCACACATTCAGAATAGCTTTGAATTTGTATTACAAAAAGTAGCTGTCCTCCTATTCTCCTATTAATTGGAGCATACCATACTGGCAATTCCATCAGCCTCCCCTGACAGTGATTTCCAGTGAAAATAGGAATTACAAAAGAGATCCTGGTTCTGTTTGTTGCACCAGAGATCGCTGGAGAGAGGGTGGAAACATTGGTATATGGTGCCCAGTCAACAAGACTGTGGGAGGTATATGGTGCTTGTGGGAGGATTGGATCTACAGGCTGTGCTCGAGTTACAAACATATCATATATACTGGTCAACCTATCCCTGCATATGTTACCAACAAAATTCTGGCCTTTCAAAATTTGTTTTAAAAGATCTTTGTAGCCTGATTCCTTAATAAGCTGCAACAAATCCACTACAATGAAACATAGGGCCCTTCCACACAGCCATATAACCCAGAATATTAAGGCGGAAAATCTCACAATATCTGTTTTGAACTGGGTTATCTGAGTCCACACTGCCATATAGTCCAGTTCAAAGCAGATAATGTGGGATTTTATTCAGTTATGTGGAAGGGGCCACACTTAAAAGCCAAAAATGATGCTATAGACCAAGAAGTCATAGTAGGAACATTAGTAAACAAACCTTTGTGTTTTCATAACCCAAAGGGCTTTTTAAAACTGTAGCTCATTTACCTGGGAGTACCTCATCTTCAATTTTCCATTTTTCATTTCTCATTGTGTATAAATATTGTGCTGTTGTCCTTGGAAAGCGATGGCAAGCAAGGCGGCAATACTGTTCCCGAATAAGCAGAGCTTTTGCTAAATTTGTGGCAGCCTGTTCGTAATCATCAACACTAACCTGAAGGGGGAAATCATATAAGCAATTGTGAAAAGGATAGCTACCACAACCCCTAGTCCTAAACACATTTAGTAGGAAATATATTCTCACTGAGACCTCTTTCACACCGCACAACACTTTAATATCACTTTGGCTGTCACCTACACATCCTGGGATTTACTCATGTCTGAGCAATACCATTCCCAATTCTCCTGACACTATTGTGCTACAACCTCCATCTTTCCTTACCATTGATTATGATATAAGGAGGCATTAGGATGGTCCTACAAGTTTTCGGTCCAACTCAGGGGCCCAGGAAACTAAAGAAGCCAGTTTTATCAGAACATACTTCAGAGAGCCCAAGACTCATGTCCCTATTTTAACCTCACCTGCAGTGATTGGATCTTTGCCTTTAGGCATACAAAAGCTATTTAAACCGCCTGCAGCCAAGAGAAAGTGCAGGCAATTTCAAATCACAAAACCTGTCTATGAGTAGTTACTACTCCCACCCCTCCACCCTGCTCCCTGACAGATACTATGAATGCAATAAAATACAGGGGGAGGGGATTCCTTCATGTTCCATTGCACAAGAAGTTATTTCCACAACTGTCAGTGTAACTCTCTAATATTTTAATATTTATGTTTATGTGACACCAAAGAGCATATATATCTTGCATGCAGAATCTATGCTGCACATTTCAGTCAAGGTAAAAGTACAGTTGTATGGTGTCAATGCATTTAGCTGCATCTTGAATTCTTGTAATAAATTAAGTGCATGTTCCAGAATCGTGGTTATATATAATCCTGGATATGAACTATTATTTGGACTCTGATCAACACTCCTATCAGACCACATGAGAACTTCCTGAAAGAGATTCCCATAAGGCTTACTTCTTCTTGTTAGCTATTAGATAGGTAGAGATAAATTTTGCATCAACCTGCCTGACGAATTACCTGGATTTGAAGACATTTGCCATAAAGCTATCTCTATCCATTCCACTACAGCATGTAATATAAACTGATCACACTTCAAGTACAAGCAACCTGTCTGTGCAAATGGAACAAAACCACTGAATATCACCGAAGGATGTATGCACAGGTTTGTTAATCAAGGTAATGTCCAGGATTATTCTTCTGTTTAATGTGCTCTCTACTGAAGGCCAGCAAGAAAGTATGTGGTTTTAGCATTTGATATTATTATTATTATTATTATTATTATTATTATTATTATTATTATCATTAACTTTATTTGTACCCCGCTAGCATCTCCCAAAGGACTCGATGCGGGTTACAAAGGCCAAGGCTTTTGATATATTTTTAGTGATTGTTTTAATGTATGTATTTATTTATTTATTTCCAACTTTTGTACCCTGTCTTTCTCAACCCCCGAAGGGGGACTCAAGGTGGATTACAACAGCAATAATTCCATGCCAACACATACAGAATATATGCACAATATATCACAACATTACACATTAAATAAAATCCATTTTAAAACATTATTAACAAACATTTAGCTAAATCCAGTCCAATTCAGCATCCCAAAACTTTGTCAGAGCCTGTCCATTGGCAGTTCATGTAAACATTGCAATCGCTATCAAGCCTGCTCCATCAAGTTTTGATTTCACTTGATGTATGTCTATGGGGCATCGACTCACTGCCTATATATGTAAGCCACTCTGAGTCCCCTAAGGCAGCGCTTCTCAACCTGGGGGTCGGGACACCTGGGGAGGTCGCGAGGGGGTGACAGAGGGGTCGCCAAAGAGCATCAGAAAACACAGTATTTTTCTGTTGGTTGTGGAGGTTTTGGATGGGAAGCTTGGCCCAATTTTCTCATTGGTGGGGTTCAGAATGCTCTTTGATTGTAGGTGAACTATAAATCCCAGCAACTACAACTCCCAAATGTCAAGCTCTAGTTTCCCCAAATTCCACCATTCACATTTGGGCATATTGAGTATTTGTACCAATATTTGGTCCAGATCCATCATTGTTTGAGCCTACAGAGCTCTCTGGAGGTTGGTGAACTATAACTCCCAAACTCAAGGTCAATACCCACCAAATCCTTCCAATATTTTCTGTAGGTCATGTGGGCCATGGTTGGTTCAATTCCATTATTGGTGGAGTTCAGAATGCTCTTTGATTGTAGGAGAACTATAAATCCCAGCAACTACAATTCCCAAGTGACAAAATCAATCCCCCCAACTTATTGGGTATTTGAGCCCAGTTTGGTCCAGTGAATGAAAATGCATTCTGCATGTCGGATATTTACATGACAATACATAACAGTAGCCAAATTACAGTTGTGAAGTAGCAATGAAAATAATGTTATGGGTGGGGGTCACCACAACATGAGGAACTGTATTAAAGGGTCAAGGTACTAGGAAGGTTGAGAAACTCTGCCCTAAGGGGTGAAAAAGGTGGGGTATAAATGTGGTAAATAAATAATAAACAACAGAAACAAGGTATTTTCTCTTATCTCTCTCCACAGAAATCCTTTATGAGGACTCCCAAATAAATTCTTTGGAATACAAGCTATTCTGTATTGTGTATCATTTTTAAAAACCAGCAAGGAAGTATCCAGGAAAACTCTTTGTCTACTTACATAAAGGAATGTTAAAGCGTGCTACACTAAGCTCCCTTGGAAAGCATTCAAAAGGTACAGCCAATATAAATTGTAGCTGCCAAAGACCACATAACAGCAGTCTGATGTCAACCATATTGACACTCAATTTGTTTCCAAGCTGAATTCTAGATGCTTGTTTTGACAAGCAAAGCCTTGAACAGCATGGAACCATGGCATCTGAAAGACTGGCACCTCCCATAGGAAGAACTTCCTGGCAGTAAGAATTGTTTAGCAGTAAAATATGCTGCCTCAGAGTGTGGTGGTCTCCTTCTCTGGAGGTTTTTAAGCAGAGGCTTGATGACCATCTATCAGGGTGCATTGATTGTGTGTTCCTGCATGGCAGTGGGTTTGACTAGATGGTCCTTATGGTCTCTTCCAACTCTACAATTCTATATGAATATGCTCACAATTTCAAGTCTTCAACCAAGTTTCTGTAGGGCATCCCAACTAGTATCTACAGGAAACAAGGCTTTCTTAGCAACAACATCTCAGCTATGGGTCTCCCTCGCAAAAGCAGTCAAGTTGATTTAATCCCTTCTGAGCCTGCACTGGATAGCAAACACATCACTATTTTGGGCTGGAATCATTGGGTTGTTGTAGGTTTTTTGGGCTGTATGGCCATGTTCTGGAAGCATTCTCTCCTGATGTTTCACCTGCATCTATAGCAGGCATCCTCAGAGGTTGTGAGGACCTAGATGCAGGCGAAACATCAGGAGATAATGCTTCTAGAACATAGCCATACAGCCTGAAAAAACTACAACAACCCAGTGATTCCAGCCATGAAAGCCTTTGAAAATAAATCACTATTTTGTATGACCTCTCTACAATAATTTTATTATGTATATGAATTAAAACTGGTGGTCCAAGGGGTGACAAACGTGATACATACAATCACACCAAATAGAATATATACCCAAACATAGGTTTCTCATTTTTTTTCTCTGAAAGATGAATAAAGGAAAATTGATTCCTTACCCCAGCACAGTAATCCCCACTAATTGCAACTCTTTGAAATTCTGGCACATCGTATGTCCCTTGGATGGTCTGTAGAGCACCTGGACAAACTGGAGTAGGAGGAGACACAGCTGGAGTGGCTGATGGAGGTTTCCATTCCTGCGATGGAATTTGTAATGACAAGGACTGGGATCGAATCATCTTGAAACTTTTCTTCCTAGATATCCATAGCATACAATATTTAAGTGAACCAGACACTTATCTGGGGCAATAAAAAGCATCTGCTCTAGAAAACCATCAGCAGAATGACACACAGTTCTCCTTGTTTGAATTCTGTATTTCTAGTTAACTGATATTACACAAAACAACTTGTAACACAACAAAATTAACACAGCAATATTTGTGAAACGGAAAACAAATGTTCAGGATGAATTTCACTAGTAACTGTAAAAACACAGTATTGTAAAACAAGGCACTGCAGAAATATTAGTCAAGACAAGGACACACTGGCAGAAATGTTACACATTGAGAGTGTCTTTAATTCTAAACTATCAAGTCAACAGCACTGTCTGAAAAGGTATTTGGGTTGTCAAGTTTATATTGAAGTTTGACAGCACTATTGTAAAATAATTTGACAAGCCTCTCAAATGTATCCCAGAATTTTATAATAAGATATATTTTGAAGGCTTCCCTCACTTATCATGGGGGTTCTGTTCCAGAAGCCCCCACAATAAGTGAAAATCCACAAAATAGACACTCTGCCCACTCGATGGCGGCCTCTTCCTCCTCCTCGCCGCTGCTGCTCCCAGCCTCAGAGGCTCCTTGGGCACCATTGATGGCACTGCCAGACTGGCCTGGCAGCGCCATCAACGGAGCCCAAGGGGCTTCCAAAGCTGGGAGTAGCACAGGTGGCAAGAAGGAGGAGGCTGAGGGGAAAGGAAAAAACCATGACATGGCGAGTCCGCATAAAGTGAACCACGAAGCGGCAAGGGAACACTGTATACTCATTTCTAAAGAAGTAATTTTGTGATCAACTTATTAGTTATTTCTGTTAGGACTTATAAACAACACATAATCAGAAAACAACATGTTATGGGATGATGTCAATTTTCCACTTTTTCAGGACTGCATTATTAAACTCTGCGCTAAAGCATCTTGCACACATGGCTTGAGATAATTGCAGATTGGCAGGTTCTGCCCATTGTATGCGCCTTCTGTAGCAAACAACAAATGAGCAAAATGATATGTGTTGGAGGATCATGTGGGAAAGTGGAAGAAGAGGAAATGCCAGATGAGCCCTGTGGTAATTGGCATCTACTGTATGCATCTGCATGTGTGTGAGGATAAATGAGATTCCTAGTTTGCTCCCTTCCAAGCTTCTCCTTTCTAAGGGCCCTTCCAGACAGGCCCTATATCCCAGGATCTGATCCCAAGTTTTCTTATTTAAACTGGATTATGTGAGTCCGCTCTGCCATATAATCTAGGATAAACAGAAAACCTGGGATCAGAACCTGGGATATAGGGCCCTGTCTGGAAGGGCCCTCAATGACATACCACAGCATAACACATGATGTTTACATAAAATATACATTTCCTGATTTGAAGACTGGGCAAAATCAAATCTAAACAATAAGGGGAGGGGGTTCCAACATTTTGGATAACATAGTTTCATAATGGACTACCATGTATATGGTCTGTACATTCTTGGTTCAATTACAATAGCAAAGCAGAGCTTCAGAAGCATTGTATGCACTGCTACATAGCTACTAAACAAACCTTTTGGCTGTCTCCAAAGACTGTTGTTCTGCCATTTCTTTCTGCAGCTCTCTCTCTTTGGCCTCCTTTTGCCCAATAGGGCAGTCTTCAGGCACAGAAAAGAGTGATAAGGCATCTTTGCTGTCTTCTTCTCGAAGAACTTTGGCAAAAACCTTTTCAGCTAGAAGTCGCACTGACTCATCGACCTCAGAAATGCTCAGCCTGGGGAACTGTCGAGGCATCTCAGCTAAGAAGACAGGAAAACACAGAATAGGAGAGAAATGTTAATAGGGTCGTCAGCATTTTGTTATTCAATTTATTTCAAAATGCATTAAAATTTATAAAACTTACACGCTGTCACAATTTACGGCAAAAAGCGATGGTTATCTTTAATTCTAAATTTGTTACATTCAGCCCTAAATTATAACATGCTTGCTTTACATGGCAATATCGATTCTGGAGATTAAAACAATTTGATAAGAATTTCTGAAATTGACAGGGAAGATTCCAAATATACCAATATGTGTAATGAATTTGACCTGTTATCGTGCAGTTACTTGTTTCTAGTACTCAAGGTCACAGTTCTCTGTTCCTCATGCTAGAATGAACCAGTTAGACCCAAAGATGCCATTGTTTTTCTTTATCTTTTTATATTCAAGTCCTAAAGATATGAAAATATAATCCCAAGCATCTGCAGTTGTGTTGCAAAGATGAAGGCACACAGAGGGGGCTCTCTCTATTGTCTGTAAAAGGAAGTCCTTGCAGCTTGACTAGAAATCACAGTTGAAGCTTCCTGTAATTACCAAGCAGCATGGAAGGCTGCCGTTAAGGAAGCAAAGGAAAAGACCCTTGCTGTGCACACAGAACCAACATGGCACCGACCTCTGGACTGCAGGACATCTTTGAAGAAAGGTCAGTTTTAACAATCAGAATGATCTTGATTGAGTGGAGAACATGAACCAGATTTATCTGTATGAAGTCCAATGCATGATGGAAGAACCACTTCATCAGGTACTCACCTCCCAGCCGGACCAAATCTGATTCCCAAAGTATTGGCGGCAGTGTCACTTGGGAAAAGCATTGCACCTGGAGCTGAGTTGTGCCACCTTAAATACATTTTATGGTATTATGTATGTTGACTCAACATTTTGACTTCATGAATTAATTTTGCTGTGGAAGTAACAGCCTTAGAAATAATGGATGTGGGACGGAATTTATTTCTCACTGAAGCAAATGAAGCTGGGCAGCACTGGTCAATACTCATTTAACTGCATCCACTGGAGCTCATGCACACTCATAGAATCATAGGATCATAGAGTTGGAGAAGACCTTGTGGGCCATCCGGCCTGACCCTCTGCCAAGAAACAGGAAAATTGCATTCAAATCACCACCAAGAGATGGCCATCTAGTCTACGCTTAAAAGCTTGCAAAGAAGGAGCCTCCACCACACTCCCAGGCAGAGAGTTCCGCTGGTGAACAACTATCACAGTTAGGAAGTTTTTTCTTAATGTTCAGGTAGAATCTCCTTTCCTGTAGTTTGAAGCTGTTGTTCTGCATCCTAGCCTCCAGGGCAAAAGAAAACAAGCCTGCTCCCTTCTCCTTATGACTTCCCCTCACATATTTATACACGGCCCTCATCATGTTTCCTCTCAACCTTCTCTTCTGCATGCTAAACATTTCCAGCTCTTTAAGCTGCTCCTCATAGGGCTTGTTCTCTAGACCCTTGATCATTTAATTGCACTTCTCTAGACACATTCTAGCTTGTCAACATCTCTCTTCAATTCTGGTGCCCATAACTGGGCACATTGTGATTCCAGGTGTGGTCTGACCAAGGCGGAATAGAGGGGTAGCATGACTTCCCTGGATCTAGAAACTATATTCCTATTTATGCAGGCCAAAATCCCATTGGCTTTTTTTGCCACCACATGACATTCTTGGCTCATGTTTAACTTGTTGTCCATGAAGACTCCAAGATATTTTTCACACGTACTGTTATTGAGCCATGCATTCCCCATTCTGTATAGTTACATTTCATTTTTTTCTGTCTAGGTGGAGTATCTTGAATGTGTCTCTGTTGAACCAACTCCACCAACTCCAGCTACCATGGGCAACAATCTGGAGTCATGAGCACTTTAGCCCCACATCTGGTGGGCCACAGGTCATTCCACCTATCTTAAATTTTCTGGGAGCAGATGATATTAAACATCACCTGACTTCCACATTAGCCTCCTCGAGCTTTGAAGTTTTGACCAGTTACAAAGACATCAATGAGTGGGAAAGACAGCAAGGCACTATCTGCCTTCAAGTTGACTTTAGCATATGGTGGTCCTATCTTAAAGCCACCCAATCCTCACCAGCCCTGCTCTGGTCTTACAGATTCAGGGCCCATTGCTTCCCTGATTTCATCTATTATAGCTCTATGATATCAATATAGCTCTGGAATATACATCCACCTGAGTTGTGAATGAGACCTCTCTCCACTCACTTCTCCCTGGCTGAATCTGGATACTTTAAATATGAATTTTTTAAAAAGTTAAAATGATAGAGAATACAAGCATTTTTTGAAAATTAAGTCATATTAAAATATTGGCTGGCATCCTGTTTAGTAATTTTGATATTATATGCCTAATTTAATGGCTCTGTAATTACACTAATTTGTTTTTACGGGGTTTTTTTATTGCAACAACTGAGAGTGCCACCATGAGCTACTTTCTAAGCTAAGGCAATGGAAAGTGGAATGGTGACTGGTGATATATCCAGCCCTTTCCCAATACAACTTTTTGTTGCAGCATGCCCTGCTGCATAGACAGGATCCACCATTGTTCACTTCCCCCCAATGTAATAATAACAATAATAGAATAAAATAATAAATGTAATAACAAAAATAGGGATGAAATGCTTCATCCGGAAGCCCCCAGGAGAGCAACTGACTTTTTAAGGAGGTTCTAGACAACATTAGACTGCAGAGTCAACCTTAAGAAATAGGGCCACAAAGTGGAGTCACGACATGCAAGTGTGGAGAAGAGCAAACCACAGACCGCCTTTTACAATGCAACCTGAGCTCTGCCACATGCACAATGCAGGACCTTCTTATTGCAACACCAGAGGCACTCCAACTGGCCAGCTACTGGTCAAAGGACATTCAGTAAAATGCCAAGTTTTTGACTTTGTGTTTTTTAAATACATTACAACTGTACCCTCGGTTCGCTACTGATACGATTAATAAATAAATTATTACATTTATTATTTTACTCTATTTCTTTTTCTTCTTCTTCTTCTTCTTCTTCTTCTTCTTCTTCTTCTTCTTCTTCTTGTTATTGTTGTTGTTGTTATTATTATTATTATTATTATTATTATTATTATTATTATTACATTTATTAACTTACTCTATTTATTATTATTTTATTCCAGCAACAAAAACAGACTGAAGATGTAGCATTTTTCATCAGGTATAATCTTTAATACCATATTCCAGCAAGGATGACACAGCTTTCCAATTGAGCTCTTAACTTTGCAGGAAATAATGATTCAGAGTCTGCCTGGAGAATGCTTTCAGCTTAGAACAGCTCCTATTAAATCTTGTTATGGCCTTGCTTATAGGTGAAATGACAAGCTATTCTGACTTCCGCCGTGTTTCTTTATATTGGGCCTAGTGGGTTATATTTCCTATTTCTTGTTTCTACCACAAGGCTTCTAACAAGAATTGCTGCTGAAGAGCAATATCCTGTTGCAAGAAGCATACTGCGCAAGCTTTCACTTGGTTCTGTGTTCTCTCAAGTACAGTTTAAGGAAGTTTCAAAAGTCAGCAACCTTTGTGGCTCCAAGTCTGGTTTATAACCCAACAACACATACCTGGCATATTAAGGAAAATATATTTACTCAAATTCCTAACAAAACATTGCTCATACTATCCATGAGTTTTCCCTCCCATCCATGCCCAGGCCTCATCTCCATTGAAACACAATAATTCTGGGATTTCCAAATTCAGACAGACAGAGTTCTGGAGCACAATATTCCTGACCTCACGATCGTGTTAAAAAACAAAGTGTGGATTGTCGATGTTGCAATCCCAGGTGACAGCAGGATTGAAGAGAAACAACTGGAAAAGCTGACACGATATGAGGATTTAAAGATCAAACTGCAAAGACTCTGGCACAAGCCAGTCAAGGTGGTCCCAGTGGTGATCGGCATACTGGGTGCAGTGCCTAAAGACCTTGGCCTGCACTTAAGCACAATCAACACTGACAAAATTACCATCTGCCAGCTGCAAAAGGCCATCTTACTGGGATCTGCACACATTATTCGCCAATACATCACAGAGTCCTAGACACTTGGGAAGTGTCCGATGTGTGATCCAATACAACAGCCAGCAGAGTGTCTGCTGTGGACTCATCTTGTGGTGTTTCAAATAATAATAATAATAACAATAACAATACTTTATTTATATCCTGCGCTATCTCCCCGTGGGGACGCAACAAAGGGACGGAGAAGTCCATATTCCCTGGTCACTTTGTTCTCATCCAAGCATGTCTTCACATTGCTAAAGTAAATTATAGCACAGGCATGGACAAACTTGAGCACTCCTGGTGTTTTGGACTTCAACTCCCACAATTCCTAACAGCCTCAGGCCCCTTCCTTGCTTAATCGGCTGAGGGGGAAAAGGAAAGGGCCTGGGGCTGTTAGGAATTGTGGGAGTTGAAGTCCAAAACACCTGGAGGGCCCAAGTTTGTCCATGCCTGGTATAGCAGATATTAACGTGCAAGAGATGCTCTGTGTCCATCTCCAGAGTGTAACTAAGGGGGGGGGGGGGAGAGAATGAAGACACCGATCCCCCATATAAGGATGTCTAAAGTATATTTTGAAATGTCCACCAGTGTTTTGAGTTTTCTGAAGTGCTAGAAATCTGGTGACAGATGAAAAACTTCCTCCGCGGGTAGAATTCTTATTCAGAGGCTTCACTCCCTGCCCCTGAAGCATTCTCCCCAAACCCAGAAATCACCTCTCCCTAAAAACCCAAAGGGGAACAGGCCATTTCCTGGCTCCCTCGGGAGCAAGAGGGAAAGAAAGAGGGGCCTATGCAGAAGAACCTGAAATAGCCACCCAATACTTCAAGGTGCCCACTATTCGACACAACATGTCCATTTAGCTTTCCTCTCGTGCAATATCAGCACATACGGGGATGGATTTGTCTACCCATGGGCACAACTTGAATGACCGCAGCTTGACACCACTTTAACGGCGGCTGCTCAATGCTCTCAAATGCTGGAAGATGTAGTTTGGAGAAGCACAGGGCAGAGATGGGAGGAAACCTTGGGAAAGGAAATCTCCCAGGACCCCACAGCCCAGACATGGGCAAACTTGGGCCCTCTGGGTGTTTTGGACTCCAACTTCCACCATTCCTCACAGCCTCAGGCCCTTTCCTTTTCCCCCTCAGCCGTTTAAGCGGCTGAGGGGGAAAAGGAAGGGGCCCGAGGCTGTGAGGAATGGAGTCCAAAATACCCAGAGGACCCAAGTTTGCTCACACCTGCCATAGTCTCCCAATGACATCCCGTCACCTATTTATACATGGTTATCATCATGTCTCCTCTCAGCCTTCTCTTCTTCAGGCTAAACATCCCCAGCTCTTAAGCCGCTCCTCATAGGGCTTGTTCTCCAGACCCCCTTGCTCCTTTTAGTGGCGCCAAACTGCATGGATTCTATCTACCTACAGCGGAGAGGCAGGCCAAGGGGGGGGGGGATGCCTTGTCCTGCGTTCACCTTTTCACAGGAGGGACCTAAATCGATCCATGGGTCGGTCCTATAGACTTGGTGAGATCAGAGGAGCACATGGCGAGGGGACCTTGGAGCCAGCTGACAGAGAGAGAGACGGGGGGGGGGGGGCATCCCAGCAGAGAGCCAGGCAGCCACTCCTCCAGACTGGGAAGCAGCAGAGCCTTTGCCTGGGCGCCCTTGCGGCAGGTTCCCTCCCTCCCTCCTTCTCCCTCCTTCCTTCCCTCCTTCCCTCCAAGGTCAGCTCCCTTTGCCTCCCTCTCCCTCCAAGCCGAAGTGGGGAGACTCACCCAGGGCTCCTGGGCCACTCATGGTGGTGGAGGGAGTTCGCCAAGCCGGGAGCCCAGCGCAGCTCGCTCGCCTGCCTGCCTGCCTCCTTTCCTTCCTTCTTGCTGCCGGTCAACCTGCCTGGGAGGAAAGAAGGGAGGAAGGAGGAGGCGGAGGCGGAGCCGCCCCGGCCAGAAGCTCTTGCCGCAGTCGGGCCGCCGCCCCCAAGGCAAACGGGCGCGGACCCACGGACAGGCACTACTTTCTCTCCCACGGCTCCAAGCTATGGCAGCCTCCTCTTGGGCGGAAAGGGCTCAAGGTCTTGCCAAGCGCTCAGCATCCCATAGCATTGAGCCCTGGCAGTTCCGGCGGTGCCAAGCTGCAGGGGAAGAAAGGGCCACCCCCAGGGAAGTGGTGTCGCTTGGCCCTTCTCCTGCGTGGGATAAATTCCACCGAGCCGGCTCAGTTCAGTTGCCTTGGAGTCCAGGGTTTCTCCACCTTCCTGATGCCGCCCCCCCCCCGCCCCCCTTAATACAGTCTATCCAATGCAGTTTTCTGAATCGGCATCCCAAATAACTAAACGGAATCTAAAGTTGACCAAAAACAGACTCGTAACCAGGTTGTTGTAGGTTTTTTCGGGCTGTACGGCCATGTTCTAGAGCAGTGGTTCTCAACCTGTGGGTCCCCAGGTGTTTTGGCCTACAGCTCCCAGAAATCCCAGCAAGTTTACCAGCTGTTAGGATCCTTTTCTGGGAGGTGAAGGCCAAAATCACTGGGTTGTTGTAGGTTTTTTCAGGCTACATGTTCTAGAGGCATTCTCTCCTGACGTTTCGCCTGCATCTATGGCAAGCATCCTCAGAGGTTGTAAGGTCTGTTGGAACTAGGACTCGTAACCCTTTTGGTACTAATGTTGGAGAGTGGTCCCTGGTCAAAAAGGTTGGGACCACTGCAGTGGGGACTCAGGGTGGCTTACAACAACGCACAATCAAGAGAAGGGCTCCACTAATGCTTAATCCCACCTGTTTAGTCTTTGACTGGCACAACCTGGGGATCACAACCAGACACAGTGAAGACATCTGCCCTTGCGCTATGCTACTCTGCTGCTGAGTATGCATGCCCAGTGTGGAACACATCTCACCACACTAAAACAGTGGATGTGGCTCTGAATGAGACATGCCACATTATCACGGGGTGTCTGCACCCTACACCACTAGAAAAATTACACTGTCTAGCTGGTCTTGCACCACCTGACATCCGCCAGGAAGAAGCAGTCAATAATGAAAGGACCAAGGCAGTGACATCTCCAGCTCATCCCTTGTTTGGGTATCGGCCAGCACGTCAACGACTTAAATCAAGAAATAGCTTTCTAATATCTACAGAGACACTCGATGGAACACTCAGAAAGCGAGAGTCCAAAAGTGGCAGGCTCAAACCCAGAACCTCAACCCATGGCTGATACCAAATGAGAGACTCCCCCCTGGCAGGCCCGTAGCCAGGATTTCGTTTCGGGGGGGGGGCTGAATTTTTTTCAGGGGGGGTTTCGGGGGGGCTGAGTTTCGGGGGGGCTGAGTCTGAGTGAAAGAGGGTCTAGCCTAGCAAACCTTTCGTATCATTACCCCAATACCCCCATGCATATGGGATATATTGAGTATGGTGATCAGATCATGATATGAATAAACATAACAGTTTAAATAATGCACCAATAAGGCCTTTTTGCGAACCACCATGAAAATTTCGGGGGGGGGGGCTGAAGCCCCCCGAGGCCCCCCCCCCCCCCCCCACTGCCCCCTGGGCACACAGAAGACTGGGCGACTTGGAAGGCGCTGAACAGACTGCGCTCTGGCACCACGAGATGCAGAGCCAATCTCAAGAAATGGGGCTACAAAGTGGAATCCACAACATGCGAGTGTGGAGAAGAGCAAACCACACGCCACCTGCTACAATGCAACCTGAGCCCTGCCACATGCACATTGGAGGACCTTCTTGCAGCAACACCAGAGGCACTCCAAGTGGCCAGATACTGGTCAAAGGACATTTAATCAACTACCAAGCTTGCAAACTTTGTGGTTTGTTCGTTTGTTTGTTTGTTAAAATGCAATAAAACTGTTTGGTTTGCTCTTGACACGATAAATAAAATAAGCCTTTCAAGTGCCAGAGGAAGGCAATGGCAAAACCCATTTGAAAAAGAAAGAAAAAACCTTGTGCACTTGCATTTCTGAGTGTAAGGATTGTTGCTGCAGAAGGAAAGAGTGTGCCTCAATCAATCTCTCTCCTTTCCCAGGAAAGGCCTCTGGACAATGTAGCATATAGTGCTAAGTGGACTATATATATAGAAGACCCAGAGAAATTTGTGTTTAGTTTGGTATAGCACAGCATACACTGGATTTGTTATCAAGCAGCAGCACACATATTTGCATGCATACACGCCTCATGGCACACTGCAAACTGCTTCTGCAGCTCAGGTGACTTGCAGCAGCAATGTATTTATACAGGGGGAGAGACACACTTTTGGCACACTCACACCCTAGGGATGAGTCTAAAGTAGCTTCCTAAAACCCAGCCAGAATAAGCTTATATTGAATGGGGGGAATCGATCCAAAGGACAGTTCGTGTTTTCTAAAACAGCATTCTTGGAAGGATTTCCTATAAAATTGTTTTTAGCCAAGACTTGTATTGTGCAATCCGATTGTGTGTTCCAACTTGAATCAGTGGGATATACCTGTGTTTTGACTCCCCATTGAACCATCACACTCTGTTTATTAAACGCCAGACCACATTTGAGCATGTACAGAGTTCATTATTTAGTTATTACTAGCCGTCCCCTGCCACGCATTGCTTTGGCCCAGTCTGTATATATGTGTTTTGTGTGTGTATATATGTGTGTATATTTGTGTATATGTATATATGTGTGTGTGTGTTTATGTATATATATGGTTTTTTGCATGTGGTGTAATGTATTTTTGTTTTTTGGCTTTTTAAGTCCCTTCCACTGTGTTTTTCAGTGTCTCTATGAGTGATAGTCACTTGTTTATTTATTTATTTATTACTGGCATTTGTACCCCGTATCTTCTCAACCCCCGAAGGGGGACTCCGGACAGCTTACATTAGTAATGGTGCAAGACCGCTGCATCACAATTACAATAATATAACACAATCAAATACAAAACAATCATTAAAACCAATACATATAACATCAATTAAAACAAAGTCACACTGTCATCTGCCACAACACCATTCCAGTCAATGTCCATTATGGTGCAAATTACATCTGCTGCCTGAAGGCCAGGTCCCAAAACCATGGTTTTATTTTTTTTCTGAAGGCCAGAAGTGCATGCCATAGGCGGGGGGCCACATCCGAGAAGACCCTGTCTCTCGTCCCTGCCAAACGCATTTGCGATGTTGACGGAAGCGAGAGCAGGGCCTCCCCAGATGATCTTAGGTTATGAGATGGGATGTAGAGGCAGATGCATTCAGACAAGTAAACTGGGCCAGAACCTGATAGATGTATCCAAATTTGGTGTCAATTCATCCAGTGGTTTTTGAGTTACGTTAATCCCACAAACAAACATTTCATTTTTATAGATAACCAAGTGTCATTTACTGGCATTTAGAGGGAAGATGTAAGTAGAACATTTGGTCCGAGGTGGGCTAAGAAATCCCAGCAGGACTATCCGCTTGTTTATACCATAGCATGAGGGATATCGGGAAAGTAAGGTTACAATTTTTTTAAAAAATACAAAGAATGAATATATTTTAATAAAACTTTCATGGATTATAGCACAGGTATTACATTAGTTTTCCACATAATCACCATTCACTTCAATACATTTTGTCATCTGTGGGACGGGTTTTTTGGTGCCTGTGTCATAAAAGTCTCCCGCCACCTTTTTCAGCCAGTTTGTCACTTCAATTTTCACCTTGTCATTGTCAGAAAAGTGTTTTCCACCCAGGTGTTCCTTTAATATAGTGAACAGATGATAGTCACTGGGTGTGAGATTGGGGCTGTGAGAGGGATGGCTTAAAACATCCCAGCCAAATGAAGTCAACAACTCTTGTGTTGCACGAGCGGTGTGCCGATACGCATTGTCATGAAGGAGACAGATAGAAGGGAAACGGAGTGAGGACACTCATCTCTAACCTTCACCACAATGCCAGTAGCTGAGCTACTAACAACTGGCACTGCTCATTCATTTCCACTGGCTTCCTGCTACATGGCAGTGATACCAACTTTCCCTGCAAAAATTCCCTGTGAGAGCAATGTAATCTTGTAATCTTACTTTCTAGATAACCCTTGTAGTTGGGCTTATAGCATCCAAGTGAGACTGGAAGAATCAAAAGGACTTAAGAGTTGGTGAATAAAAAACCTTGAGGGAATTACGCCTTTGAAGGCTAAATAGGTAATAGATCTCAGTTTGTACCTGGGCTGGCAATTAAATGTCGGGGTATACACTTATTTTAGTAAGATTAATGGGTTTGTAAAGGTTTCTTGCTGAGATAGGAGACTTTCTTGTATGCTGTTTTATAGAAGTACTTTGTCACTTGTCACCTTAATGCACTGTATGTCTTTTGGATCACCCAAAGATTATCCTGAAGCAAATGAATGACTCAGCATGCAATACAGTATATTCCATAATTCCTTTGCATATAAATGTACATTAATATGAGATACATTCTGTAGTTCCAGAGACACAGTATTTCTGCATTTTTTTGTGTCAGGAGCGACTTGAGAAACTGCTTCTGGTGTGAGAGAATTGGCCATCTGCAAGGACGTTGCCTAGGGGACGCCCAGATGTTTTAGTGTTTTACCATCCTTGTGGGAGGCTTCTCTTGTGTCCCCACATGGGGAGTTGGAGCTGACAGAGAGAGCTCATCTGTGCTCTCCCCAGATTGGAACCTGCAACCTGTCAGTCCTCAGTCCTGCCGGCACAAGGGTTTAACCTACTGCACCACCAGGGGCTCCAGTATTGCTGCTGCTATTGCACATATAAAGCTGCATTCAAAAACAATGAATATCGACTCTTAATGGTTTCCATTAAACTCCTTATGGTTTCCATTAAGACCAGATGTTACCTTATGGAAGTTATACTTCTCAAATAGAAAGGAAAGGAGTGTTTGCTCTCTGACTCTATTCTATTCTCCCTGGAAATGTGAGCTCTTTGTGACTTCGATGTTTTATTTCTGGCTTCAGCCTGATCATACCCAAGCTACTTAATTTACCAAGGCTGCAGTCTGAGACAAACATACCAAGAAATAAGTCCCAGGACTAGACTATTAAAATGCTGAGTCAATTTCCTCCTGATGAAAGCACAAAAGAAACTCATATCTCTTCAGCCTATGAAAACATTACCTGTTGCAACACGCAAAAATTGCTATGGGCCTCCACTGACTGAATGTA